TCAGGACATGAAGAATAGAAAGAAGGAGATATAAAGGAGCAAATTTCTCTCCTTTTTATTTCTGGCCAAACCTACCCTTAACTTGTTCTAATACCCTTAGTAATGGTTGAAAAACTTGTTGTAGACTGGCCTCCACCTACTACAGTGCTCATAAATTTATGAACAAGGGCCCTAATTTTAGATTTAAAATAATCCACATGAATATGAAGAATATATAAATCAGATATAAGACATCCCTCAATATATGCCAATATATGACTTTTGAATTGTCCTATGAAAGATGAGTTCTGCTCTCATTTCCTGTTTTAGCTTTACACTGCTGTGCAATGAATGAATTTTAGGTATGTCCAATATAATATTCTACAGCCTGAATAATTGAAACCATTTAATATGGTTATTTAGGTTGTGTAAGACTGCAAAAGACAGGAGAGTAGAGGAATGTTGAGCAGATTGCATGCAATTTTATATAGCTGTATAAAGTTGGATGCTACCAGAGCCATGGTAAGCACTTACTTTGATAGGCAGTGCTCCAGCAACAAATGCCCTTCCATAAATCTTTGTCACTGTGCCACGTTCTGTTAAGTTTATTGGGCTCAGCTCTTTGACTGGAGACATCTGGACTACAACTTCACCACCTCCTTGAGGATAGTAGCCCCTGTTTAGAAACAGTCATTGGACATAATTAAATGCAATGATCACAAGGAGACCAAGAAAAGGGCCGGGGGCTCTTCATATATTTCACTATACATTTTTATGTTCCCCGTTTTATGTCACAGTACGTACAAATTTTCTTGATGTCTGCCTTAGAAACTCTTATAATGGAATTAGGCTCTTTAACAGTAATCCTCTGTAATTCACATCTTATTAACTTCCTAACCCCAACCTAACTGGCTCCTTGGAAAAAGCTCAGTAATGCACTGCCTGTTCAGCATGCCCTCCCCTCAGGGAAGCCGACAGGAAACATTACACAGCAGCTGTAGACTCAGCAATGAAAAAAAAGACAGCAAAGAATCCTATCCCATTCATCATATGGTGACAGTACACACAGGGGCAGCTAATGCAGATTAGTTCATGTATTATAAATTCACCCCTCAGTTTGATTGAGAGCCCCTTGTGTGTGCCTCTGCTCACACACAGGTTCAGTAAAGGCCCAGCTCTGCTGCATGGCTCCACAACTCACCTCCTTTTTATATCACAATTAAATGTGAAATTGAACTTTTCAACTATTGGCTTGAAAACCTGAAAAAGAAACATATAAGAATTAATTTATTTTTGCATTGATAATTTTCCACTATTTAATGAATTCTTAGAAGAAAAAAAATAGCTTAACACAAAAATTTCAGTTGCATTATTAAAATAAAAAAAAAGATAGCCAGTCTCATCCATATAGCTTATTTGACATTCCTCATACTTTATTTTCAATGTAACTTTGTGTAAAAGGATTTTCCTATAGAAAAGAGTTATTCACAGCACTACTAGAAAAAAAGAATACATTATAAGTGAAATTTTCTGCAGTAAATTAAAACCAAAGAGACTATTTGCCATTTCAGAAATTCCATGAATCACTGGTTTCTCTCTACATCCAGTACACTAATAGTGTTATATTCCATGCCTAATTCCATAATCACAAATAGACTTGCAGTAAGAGCAACAGAGAACAGCAGTTACATTGCATACATATTCAGGGAAGATGCACCAAGGCAAAGGAATTTCTCCCTACCATGACTGTGTAGTCTATCTGAGGAGCCATCTCCGCATTAGTCCCACCTTTTAAATGCAGCTCTGATGGGGAGGCAGCAAACAGCACACAGGGCATTGCTACCTGCATCAGTAGGCACACGCTCCTAAAAACAATTATAAGATACTCAAATGCCATACTCTAATAATCCACAGAATTGCATACAATCATTATATATCAAAGGCAAATGACTCTCTAGAACATTTACTTTTGTATTTTATTTTTTAAATTATCTATAAACTTATTAGTCTTAAAAGATACTACTTTAAAACTCCATGTCCTTAGAAAGCCTAAATATGAAAGTTTTCATTTCACAATAATTGCATCTTTAATAGTTCTGTTTGAAATTAAGTTATGTATCTTCCTTAGTACAGTGATGGGACCAAGAAAACTGTGTTTAGGTAGCAGAAAAGCCTTAGGCAGCAGCAACATTTTAATACATTAATGGAATATGTTCCCATTTCCAAAAGACCAATATGGCATACTGTGCTACTATGAATGTAAGTAAAATGTCAAAATTTACCTTATTATATGGCAATTATTTCAGACCTCATGCATGTGAGATACTTATCTAATTTAAAGCATTTGGTCTGGTATGTAACACACTAATGTGAGGAATTTACATCTGAAGTTTTAAAGACATGGACAGCTGCTTTCTTCATAACGTGAATCAAGCATTCAGCTTTTATATAAATCATGCTTTTAAACTTCACATGTACTTCATGCATATCCTGCCTATACTATTGGTTCTTTGGTCACATAAATCTGACTCAGGAAGCACATATCCTGGGTCATTACCAAAGCATAAATGTTCTTTCCACCTCCCCCCATCTATTATGACAATTTTAAAATTATCAGAAAACATACCCTGCTGTTTTTGTATCTGCTATGTGGGTTCCACCTTTGATCTTCCCAGGAGTGAAGGTTATTTCTGTTGAGCCAATTTCTCCACCATTCAGCTTCCCATCACACAAATCTCGAATGATCTCCAATCCAGACAGATGCTGAGGTCTTAGAGTGACAATACACAGTTAAAGACACATACAAGTAGACTACATCCTCATGTTACACTAAAACAACCACTAAACACCAACTGAAAAACTATGACTCCAAATTTTGGATCAGACAAGGATCAGAAATTCACTCTGGTTGCTACAGTACTTTTGAGCTCACAGGAGCCAAAGGAGCAGCATTCAGGCCATACTGGGATATGCAGGATTCTGGTATCCTTTCCGCTAGAATGGACCCAAGAGAGCTATCTGTGCTATAAATGCTTGGCCAGAAATGCAGTGGGAAATGATGGCAACACTGGCTGAGCCAGAACCAGTTGCAGTGCTACAAGAGAATTAACAGGTTTGCTATGTACTTGCCTTGTGCTTGTTACCATTTGTTCGGGTAATTTAAACAGGAAATACACCAACTAGTCTTAACACTGGAAACACACGAAGTGTAGCAGCACTAGGATAAGCACTAACTGCTGTTAGCACTGTACACTCGGTAAGCTGTGTTTTGCTCAGGCATTACGCGAGTGTGCTCCCCGTTTCAAACCGTGCTCCGCTCAGCACCTGCGGAACCATTTCCGAGGCAGCGCGCGGGCCGCGCCCTCACCCGCCCCGCTGCGGCCCGGGCGGGACCCGCGCTGAGGGCACCGGCAGGAGAACCGAGCCCGCTTCATGCCGCAGCGTTCCCCCTCACTCCTTCTGAGCCACAGACGGGATTTCCCAGTAAAAAGGCTCTTTTAAAGCAATGGAAACACAAATGTTTCAGATGAGAGCAGCCGAGGCCTTGAGCGGCCGTGCCCCAACCCGGGAGGGCCCCACACGCCGTAACTGACCAGCTGAGCGCCCCGGGACCGCCCGGGGAGGGTCTCACCTGAGGCCGGGCTGGCTCCGCCCGGCGCGGATCCGGCGCACCCGCACCGGCAGCCCCAGAAGGCAGCTCAGCGCCGTGGACACCCGCAGGATCTGCCCGCCCTGCACGGACAAACGGCGCTCGTCAGGTACGGCACCTCCCGGCCAGCCCGTACAGCTGACCGGGGCCAGGTAAGCCGCGGCCCGCTGGTGCTCACCCCCTCCATGATCCCGCCGTCTATCTCCACCCTGTCCCCGTCCATAGCTGGCGACGAGCGGTGTCTCTCGCAGAGGCCGCGCCGATGGGATCCCGGCGGGGCCCTAAACACGGCGAGGCCTCGGCGAAGCAGCCCCGGGGCCAGGAGCGCTTGACGGCGACGGCGCGCCCGGGATGCTGCGGTACCGGTGCGGAGGGCGGGCGGCGGTGCCGGGCAGGCGCAGAGCGGAGGCGCCGCCCTGCCCGCCCGCCGGGGGGTGGTCGGGGCGGCTCCGCCGCGGGGCGGAGCAGCCGGCGGGCCCGGTACTCAGGCAGGGGCGGGAGTAGCTCCATTGTCCCCGCGGTACTGACCGCGTCCCGCAGGAGGCAATGACTTTCCCTTGTCCTGAGGGCCGGAGCCGTAACAACCGCGGCACCTGGGAGATAGAGCCATGGGTACAGAGCTGCCGCCGGAGGAGAGTGGCCGGGCTGCTGCCCTCCTCGTTACGAGCTAGTTTCCTCAGAATCACAGAATGAATTAGGCTGTAGAAGACCTCTGAGATTATCAAGTTTACCACCATGCCAGCCAGACCATGGCACTAATTACCACGTCCAGTCTTTTCCTTAAACACCTCTACGGTTGGTATAACCACCAGCTTCCTGGGCAGCCCGTTCCAATGTCTAATCACCCTTTCTGTGAAGACAGTCTTCCTACTGTTCAACGTAAACCTTCCCTGGTGAATCTTAAGGCTATGCCCTGCCGCTCGTCACCTGGGACCCCCAGCTGGCTACAATCCCCTTTCGCGCAGAACCACAGACACGGGCGTGTTGGTCTGGCAGGCGCGCTCAGCACTTTATTACACGTGTATGGGGAACGGCCGGGCTCTCGGCGCTGCCCTTCCCGCTACCGCGGCCCGGGGAAGGCGCCTGCCGCGCACCGCCACCCGCGGCTCGGGCCCGGGAGCCCCGCACGGGGAACGCTCCCGCGGTCCCTCCCGTGGGCGTGTGTGGGCCCCGAGCGCCGCCCGCGCCCCGCCGCCGCCGCCCGCTCCTGGTTGGCCGTGGCGGCGCGGCCGCCGCGGGTTGGCTGTGCCGGGGGTGTGTGCGGGGCCGTTCTGCCCGGGGTAAGATGGCGGCCGTGACCGCGCTGAGGAGCAGCTGCCGAGCCGCGGGGCGCCTGGTAAGGGGAGCGGGGACCCCGCGGGCGGCGGCGCTCCCGGCCGGCCGGGGAGGGAGAGATAACTCTTGGCATCCCCGAGCCCTGTTCCTGCCGGCGGGCACACGGCGCGCACCGCCCCTCTGCAAACGCTACGCGCTGGCGGACCTGTCGCCTCGGCTGTGTGCGGGGCCGGGCAGCGCCGCAGCTCCGTCCCCGCTGTGCGCTCCCCGCGGTGTGCCTGGGACCGCCCGCCCCGCGCTGCACAGGGACCCCGAAGTGGCACCCTCTCCCCCGCGCTGCCCGTGCTCCCTGTGAAAGAAACTTGTGCCTTTCTGTAATGACAGTGACATGCTCCTCTTCTGTTATTTCTAAGTCATCCCATTACTGCTTTGCCTAAGCGTTGCTCTGCCATCACCGCTTTTCCGCCCACGCATCAGCTCCCTTTGCATACCGCATCTGCACGGAAACGGTGTGGATACACGTACAAAAAAGGGAAACGTATTTCTTTGAATCCCAGGAGCCTTGATACTTGAAAAGTAGTTGAGATACTTTACCATAAGAAGTGAATCTACTTGGTTGCCTTTTTGAGATACTTACAATTTCATGGCCGTAAACTTCGTTCATGCTTTCTTCTGTCTTGTATTACAGTTTTCTTGCTATTGTGAAAAGCTTTGGTTTCCTATTATGTCACCCCTATTTCGTAGGATGTTAGAGAATAAATAATTTTTGACATTTAGAGACAAAGTTAAGGATCAGTTCCAGTTTCTAATATGTTTTTCTCTTAATAATTCATACTGGAATTTTAAAGCATAATGCTGAGGAAGTTTTAAATGATACTTTTAAAAGTAAGGCAGTTTACAGCCAGTAACTGCCTTTTGTAAGGCAGTTTACAGCCAGTAACTTGTAAGTATTTATAAATAATTTTACTAATTAAGAGCACTGAAAATAGCATTTTCTTTTAAGTTGTATTTCTAACCTTCTACTCTTAAATCTGGAGGGAGATTCTGATAAGATGAAAACACTCATCTTATCTATGTGCATGCTGAGCTGTAGAATTGGCTGGTGTATAGTGTGTGTTTCCTGCAAGCACATTTTGAATCTGAGCCAGGGGCCTTTGTGTGAAGTGGTAGGGAAATGGCAGTTACCTGGACACTGGGACATGTGCCAGGTATTTAGATGAGGGATGGCATCAGATTAAAACACATTACCAGGGATGTTGCTTTAGTATATAGGTAACTATATGCTTGGAAATATAGAATATGTATGCAAAACACATCCAATGTGAGGAAATGTTCATTAAAATGACTCAGTGGGACAGAAGTCAAGAGAGTTCAGTAGGGCAATATCCTTTAATGCAAAGTTATTGCCTGTGAGCATGACTGTTCAATTTTACTTGGAAGTTTAGTGTTACTCCCTCAGTTAATCAGTTCTCTTCAGGCTGCTTAAAAATACTTTGGTCTGAGGCCAGCATACATATTCTGGATCAGTAGTAATTTAGAAAACCAGAGTTGGCTTGTTTTTAAGGAAACAAACAAAGCTGAACCTGAGAGGGAAGGCTGTTCTCCCCCTGAGTGCCCTCAGCTCCCCCTTGGCTCTGTCAGCCAGGCTGGTGTGGCCTCAGTCCCAGCGAGGGTTTGAGTGGGACCTCAGCTCCATTATGCCAGAGGCACTCTGCTCACTGGAGACGTGCACAGGAAAGCTGTTACCTGCTGTGGCAGTATTGCCTTTAAGTTGCCGTTTAATTTAACAGTAGCCACGTTAACAAGCTTAGGATAGCATTTATGTTTAGGGTTTACTGATAGATTTTTCCAAACATCAAAATATGTAGGTGGGTATACTATGGATATTAGAGCTAATTTTGTCTTTTATGTGCCATTTTTATTTCCTTGTTTGGCATTACACCAGTATTATGGTGATTAAATGCTGAAATTGTAAGCACAGTCTCTTTGTTTAATGGATTGTAATTTTTTCCTTGTTGGTAAGGAACACGGCTCTGTGAAGAGATTGTGTCCTGCATTATTGGTTTAACATACTAGCACATCAGCTTTTTGGTAGAGAATGTGCAAAACTGAAAACCAGAAAGATTTTGTTGTAAAAAATGCGGTAGTTTTAAATTATTCCTTCAGATATAATATAAAACAGCATGGTAACTCTTCAATAACAACACCAGTCTCTTTTTTTTGGCAGTGACATTACTAATTCACTACCTGCATTGGTAACCAAAGGTTAAAAATCACATGGAAATAATTGTGAAACTTCACATTTAGAAATAGTTCAGAGATTTGATGTGCTCCTTGTGATCATCTTCACAGGTAAATACTGAATGTTTTTCATTTAGGGTCATATAAAGAGAAAAGAGAGTTTTTGCAAGTTTGTGACAAAAACGTCTAGTTGAACAATTTTTTTAGTAAACATTAAAATATAACCTTCAACTGGGAAGAAGCCCAGAATTAAAAATAGAAGAAAAATAAGAGTGAAGATGTACGTTGTAAGCCAGTTTTGTAATTAAATGTAAACTTTAAACATATTCCTAAAGTATGATTTTTTATAGCTTAAAATTGCCATTTTACCAGGTTGTTGAATATGGAAAGTTGTTTGGAGGACTAATGAAAAGATTTTCTATTTGCTTGTTATAGGAATGAGAAAAATACTCATTCTAGATCAGTAGGTACCATCTTAGTGGCAGGCAACTGAAAGGTAACTCAAATTATATAACTTTGTTGTGTCCACCATGATAGACTGTGTTGTATAAATATTTGTTTCTTAAAGAAAGGGGATATTGAATATAACTTGCAGTGCTGGGTTAAATAATACAGAAAATGAGTACACTGTCAGTTCAGAATTGTACGGCCTGCTGAATAAAGTACTTTTTAAACAGTGAAAAGTGATAGCAAATAGTTGAACGGTTTGGGGTGTGGGGAGGGAAACAAGAAGTTTCATATGCTCTGTAATTACTGAAGGATTTTTTAAACAAGAAGTTAAAATGAACTTTCCCATGCAGGTATGCTGTTTTCTGGCTCCTCTAAGAAGATAATTTCTAAATTTTACAGTTTTGAGCTACTTGAGGTACATTGTAGCACCTGAATTTTTTTCATATCTCTAAATTAGTTAGAGATAGTATCTACAGAGAAATTGTTATTTTTATAAATTTTACAGCACTCTTAAGACGACATAACACCAGAATTACATGAAATTGAATAAGTTTACTGGATAAGAACATGTCTGAACTAATTTGTGTTGAAATTAATAAAATACCTGTTTATGTCAATGCAAGCACTGCCAGCTTTGCTTATGATCACAATCATGACTGATTACAAGATGCTTTAAAGCTTAAAGTTTTGTCTGAAGAATCTTTCAGAAAATTCTGTAGACTCTTTAAAACTGGTTTCTGGATAAATATAATTGTAACCATAAAAGACAACCATCTCATGGCCAGTTCTTACAAAATATCATTGAAGCTGATTTGAGATGATGTTTACTTGAAGATGATTGCCATCTATACAGGAACAAAAATGAAAGGGCAATTCTGGGCCCTCTGGTATGAATTTCCTTTCTGATTAGTACTTCTTATCAACTTCTGTTGGGACAAATATACTGGTTTTCCATGCAGTCTAGGGAAACCTTCCAGCCTTCACCCTGGATAGGAATATTTCAGATGTCTGATATGGTTGATAGTGAGTGTGCTTTTTGTGTGCCTGTCCTGATCAAGCTAATTCATGAGAGCAACAATAGCAATGAATCACTCACCAAATCCTGTCATGATTTTTGTTAATTGGTTGTGTCACTGTGGCTTTAACCTCCCCGTGCGCTGTGTTAGTGAAAGAAGCTAAAAACTGGCAAAGCTTTGGCTAGTGTAAAGGTTAGTGTATGTTCAAGAATGCATTCAGTGTAATTGTGTTCTGTAAGAACTTCTCTTATATAGACTAGAATGAAACTATTTTAGTATGGCTGTTACATGGGGAATATTAAATGAGCTCTACCTCCACTGTATTAACCCTTGAGATTTTCTCCCCAGGTTTGCATTCATCGCGTTAGATCGTGCAGCAGCATTCGCTTTATAAAATCAAAATATGTGTGCGTGTTTGACAAATCTGCCCTCAAGTTTAGTCATCAACAGCGATTATTCAGAACATCTGCTGGTAATCCTTTTCATAATAAAATAATTTATTTTATTTTGCTATTTTTTGAGTGTTATGTTAGAGGTTTGCATATGGCTGGTATGCAGATTTTTTCTCATGCATTCAGATTTTTCTCTCTGGTAGCTTGTATTGAATTTTAAACATGCTGTATTTTCTTATTGTCTGTTTCAAGTTTCATGTGGCCAAATTGTCCAGTTTAAGCTTTCTGACATTGGAGAAGGAATTACAGAGGTGACTGTAAAAGAATGGTAAGCTCTGCTTTCCTGGAAATACACTAAGAAATCAGCAGGTAGTTTAGCAGCTTTATCTATATGACCCTTGAGTTATGTGAGAATATTTTTTGGTTTACTAGTGAAGTTTTTCAGGTTTCATTTTGCACATTTTAAAACCTTATACATACTGAGCTTTTTATTTTGTTTGTTTGCAGTCTCATATGTTTGTGATTGGAAAAATTGGAAGGAATGGGATACACCTGTATATATAGGCTTCTCCTTCACTGATTGATGTGTTTTGAGTTCAGGAGGACTGTCTTTTGTTATTTTTACTTACACATACTTAGCTTTAGAAACTTTACTTAGCTTTAGAAACAAATGGTTAGCCTAAAGAATCCACATAATTTTATCCTGTACCCCTCCTCTGTTGCCTTTAGTAAAGGATTTGAACTTCTGAATTGTTTGTAAAAAGCCAGTGATGAATGGATTAAACAAAATCAAAGTGTACGTGAAGGAAGGCAGTGTTAAAAGGCCTTGTTCTTTGTACAAATACCTCTTTGCATGGAAGACAGTATTCCCTACTATCCATTTCCTTTCTGAAACTGATAGTATATTGACAAGTTGAAACCAACAACTTCCTTGCATGGCGATTAAGTTGGGTTCATTCTTATTTTTAGATGCTTTATAATCTGACAGGAAAACTCTGCTTTAATAAAGTAAATGTAATATGTGTGTAATGATATTCATAATTATTTTGTCATTTCACCCAACAAAGAAGTCTGTGGCAGTCAGACAAAATGCATGTAGCAAACATAGGCAGTATGCAGAATTTGTTTTCTCATCTGGAATGAACTTCCTTGTTGTGGGATGTGTATTACTGAACTTACCAAAGGAATACACAGAGCAGGTTTTTACACTGGCTCTCTTTGCTCCCAGGTACATAAAGGAAGGTGACAGCGTATCTCAGTTCGACAGCATCTGTGAGGTGCAGAGTGATAAAGCCTCTGTTACTATCACCAGTCGTTATGATGGTGTCATCAGAAAACTCCATTACAGCATAGATGATACTGCTTTTGTTGGAAAACCACTAGTGGACATTGAAATTGATGCTTCAAAAGGTATTGTAAGCCATTTTTTTTCTCATGCATATTTTATGTTTGTTGTCATAAAACAATCAGTGGCAGAGAAGCTTACTTTTTCCTCCTGAAAACCTTTAAAGATTTTTTTTTCCCTTTATAAAGTCAAGAAATTTGAATAGAGAAAGCTGTGATATTTATTAGAGTTTAAAATCTCCTAGACATTTCCTCTTGAATATTTAACTTAAGCAGCAACCTTTAGAAAGCTGTGTTCTCATCCACATTAACTCAAAGTAAATCATAAAAACTTCAGCTGTCACAGAATGGTTGACATGGGAATTTAACAAATGCTTATAATGTAATAAAGTTAATTTTTTCTTTTTGTTTGCAGGTGTTGCCTCAGAAGAAGATGTTGTTGAAACACCTCCTATGTCTCATGAAGAGCACACTCACCAAGAGATAAAAGGTCACAAAACATTAGCAACCCCTGCAGTTCGTCGCCTGGCCATGGAGAACAATGTAGGTTTGCTGAATAAGGTCCTGCTGCCTTTTACCCAGCTTTTATATGGCAGTTTGACTGACTAGAAGAACACTGATCTAGAGGAAACACTTGTTTTCAAATACATTTTACATGTGTGAGAACTGCTGTAGAAATGAAGAGGGTTGTGCTTTCTGATGGTTATGGTGAATAGAAAAAGAATTGCTGTGCTGAAAAGACAGCTAGGAGGCTTTAGGCTGAAGACTGAGAAAACCTGTCTAGAATGAAAATAAGAAACTGTCAGAGAAGATTCCTGAGAATCTCTACAGAGAACATAGGAGGGAAAAAGAAAAAAAAAAACACCTTGTTTTGCTTTTCAGATTTGTATTAGAGCAGAGGATATACTAGGTGATGTTTTGCATGCCTTTTTTGCCCTATGAATATTCCATTCATTTTGAAAGCTCATGATGCATTTTTAGGACAGAATTAAGTGTCAAATAGCTTTTCTCAAATTAATATTTCACTACTGATCCTGTGAAGTAATTAGGAGGTTAACAGTATTCATAATTCCTCCTTGAAGTATGCAGTCAGATACCTAGTGGGACTTTTGGATGATTTGAGCTAAGTTGAATACCTAATAAACTATAGAAAGAAACAAAAAACTACAAATATGTTGGATCAGAAATGGGAATAATTTTTAACCATAGCTCGCAATATAAGGTATTTTTATGTTGCTGTAAAACTAAAGTATCACTGCTTGTTATTTGATTTTTAGATTAAATTGAGTGAAGTCGTTGGGACAGGAAAGGATAATAGAATCCTTAAAGAAGATATACTCAACTACTTGGCCAAACAAACAGGAGCTATTTTGCCTCTATCACCGAAGGCTGAAATTGTCCCACCTCAGCGGAAAGCAGAGGCTGTGCCAGCTGCTCCAAAGGACAAAGCACGCAAAATTCCCGTGCCTGTTTCCAGACCCCTTGCATTTTCAGAAAAAGATAAAACGGAACCTGTAACAGGTAAATCATGAAATATAAAGTCTTGAGACCATGGTCACAGTAGACTACCAGTACCTGTTGCTCGGTGAGTAGCTGATTCCTTTTGATGGGAGTGTGTTTCTTGTGGTTGTTATGCAAGTGAGCATTTAGGAAAACACTCTGTATGAAGCATCTCTGCTGAAATTATTTCATGAAATATTTGTTTGTGTTTTGGTTGGATCAAGTTGGGCTGCAAATTGTACTTGCTCATTCTTCAAGTGTATGTTGAAACAGGTAGGAGGAATTCTAAACGTGGATTTGTCATGGTAGCAATCATTATGCAATTAGTGGCAAAGTGCAGTGAATTTAAGGGTTTATCAGTGCTTAGTAAAAGCATACAGCACTATTATGTGTGACATTCACACCTGTTTTGGAGAACAGTGCCATAAAAGACACTAAGGTAACAAAAAATCACATTAAAAGAGGAAGATTAAAGTTTTTTGCTTGCCTTCCAAGCAGTGTTTATTTGGAGAGGCTGGAAAGTGTAATGCAGATTATCATATTATGATTTCAAATTTATACATGCATAGGTGAGAGATGCAGTAATATAATCTGAAGTATTACAGTCTTCAAAATTGAGTTCTATGAACCAAATAACGCAGTAAGTGCTCTCTACCCTGTTCTTCATTGGTTATGCTTTGGCTTTGGTTTGGTTTTTGTAAATTGTGTAATTTGGTTAATGGAAACAGATGAAATTTCTGTTCACATCCTGTCCATAACTTCACAGAAGGTCATTTTGTTGGTTTAAGAAGACAATGAATATTTTCCAGGTTTTCAGAAGGCCATGGTAAAAACTATGAGTGCAGCCCTAAAGATCCCCCACTTTGGTTATTCTGATGAGATTGATTTGACTCAACTTGTTCAGCTGCGAGAAGAGCTGAAACCTCTTGCTGAAATCCGTGGAGTTAAGCTTTCCTTTATGCCTTTCTTCATAAAGGTGAGGCATGCAGCAGAGCCCTGTATGGAGTACTTACACAGGTTTTGCCAAAATCTGTTAAATGATTGTTGTAAGTTTGGACCAGCTCTCTATCATCTGACTTATGGCTGATCACAGGAAAACTGTTTTTTTGTTTATTGAGCTACATAGCAATTTACACTTGGAACTGCAGCTAGAGTTATGTAATGTCACTGAAATTTTTTGAAATATTAATGGGAAAGGATAGAGTGCCTTCAGCATAATTTAATATGTAGGTAAAAATCACCAGGTGTTTGAATTGCACAAAGCAAGTTTTCAAAATTGTCAGTGTTTTTTGAGCTCATATGAAATGCATCATGGTTCTTGTTGGTGTTATTATTATAATTTTTGTATTGCTGATGAATCCCTTAGGTCACTGACTGTTGACCCTTCTGTTGTTCAGAAAAGCAGGCAGTTGCACTCATGTGCAGTGGATGTACAGACTAATCTGGTAATGCTATTGCACTCAGAGTGCTACCTAAACACCCATTCCATATTGTTATAAATCTAAATTTTCTCTTACTATTGCTTCTTTTGCATGGAGCTCTCTGCTTATAAAATATAAAAATCTATTTTGTCTTCTTTTTTTTATATTTAACAGGCAGCCTCTCTGGGATTGCTGCAGTATCCCATTCTTAATGCTTCTTTGGATGAGAACTGTCAAAATGTCACATATAAGGTTTGTAGACTATGGATTAATGTTGTGTGCAGAAAGTGAAAAGTAATGGCTAACAGGAACCTTTCAGAATGTCTGAGCTAATTATAAGAACGAATATTATGGTGTTGTGCGGGATAATAATTAGTGTGTTCAGATTCTGAGATCTAGATTTGATTTATTGTTGATCTTATTTCAGTAGTTTGTTAGGTAAGAGTCACTTTATTATTCAGACTTGCCTCAAAAATGCATATTAATAATTTAATTTCCTATTTTTCACCCGAATATTGGCCATGCTTTTAAAATGAGAATATTTCAAATATCGTACAACAATTTTTAGGGTTTTTTGTGCATGGTAGTTCAACTGTTCCAACACTCAACCCTTATATGTTAAAGTACAGTCTTGATGAAACTTATATAGTTTTTATACAAGCTGCTGGATTGATACTTCTGGGAAACAAGTATCTATTTTCTTAAGTGATGTGTACTTGCACCTTGCAGTGCATACTTTTTTTGTGCTGTTTTATAAGTATCTCTCAGAATCCTTATATTCCTTTCAAAAAATGAAAAGCAAGTGATCTCAGTGATAAGAGTGTTAGCTAAGGTCATCTGTAATGGAAATGGAACATGGGAGTCTCCATTTGTTGCAGAGAAACTGCATAGTTCGTGATTGAAAAGTTTGTGGTGTTTTTAGATGACTATGCACACATCAAATTTTTTCTTCTTTTTAATTTCTGTGTTCACTTTAAAATATGCTATTTATTTTTTGTTACACATATGATCATCCTAAAGTGCAGTGTTTTCAATGTGAAGTTGATTCCAGGACTTTGTATTCTCTGAAGGTGGAATTATCAACATCAATTTGCAGTTTGCAAATGTGAGGCTAATTTAAATAAAATTATATCCTTTTCTTCCCTCAAAGTTGTATGCAGGAGTTGCTTACTAAATACAGCACTTTCCAGGTAAAAAAGATAAATAAGGAAAATGTGACTGAAGTGGCTTTTTACGTAAAATACATTTTAAGTTGACAGCTTATATTAATGTCTGGTTAATGGCACTTGCTACAGGCTTCACACAACATTGGAGTTGCAATGGACACAGAGCAAGGTTTAATTGTCCCAAATGTGAAAAATGTTCAAGTCTGCAGTGTGTTTGACATTGCTGTGGAATTAAATCGCCTCCAGTCCTTGGGCTCTGCAGGCCAACTGGGAACAAGTGACCTCACTGGGGGAACATTCACCCTTTCAAATATTGGCACAGTAAGTACAGGGAAAATGGGAGCTGCTTCTGAAATCTGCTTCTGAAATGCAGTTTTACTGAAGTTTAATATGCGAAGAAGAAAATCTGTAGCAATTAATTCAAGATGCAATACGCTTAAAAAAGCTGTTAAATAATATCCCCACCTTTTTCTTTTCTAGATTGGTGGCACTTATGCCAAACCAGTGATACTACCTCCTGAAGTAGCTATTGGAGCACTTGGAAAGATACAGGTATATTAACTTTATCTCAGTGATGAGAGTGTTAGCTAAGGTCATCTTAATGGAAATGGAACATGGAGTCTACCTTTGTTGCAGAGAAAATGCATAGCTCATGACTGAAAAGTTTGTGGTGTTTTTAAATGACTATGCACACACCAAATGTTTAATTTGAAGTCTCTTACACCAAAGGTTCATATATATTTTCCAGAATCCTGTTATATTTCTCTCACATCTATGTTTAGCCTTCGGGTTAGTAAGAAACAATATAAATACAGTTCTACAAATTTTGCAACATGGCAATAACAATTTTGCTATCAGCAGGGAGAAAACTTGAGAAATATTATGAAAATGAATTTTAATTTCATAAGCCAGGTAGCTGAATTCATAGAGAATTTTGGATGTGAAGGCAGTTTTATATTTTCTGTATCTCAGGCTTTAAATCTTTAGTACAGACATTGGAGTTCAGTGCTGGAAATGAAATTAGTATTAACTGAAATTATTTTTATGTTCTTCCTCTAAGAATTTTTTAGAGGTGCTTTAAGGAAACTGCCACTTTGAGAGCTAAGAGTGCAATAAACTGTTCAGGAAGAAACTTTCGAGTCAGGAAAAGCTTTTACTACTTCAGTGTTTCCATGATGGTGGAAATAGGCTATGATTGTTTATTATTAAGGCTTGCAGTATATTCTGATCCATAGCACAAACAGTAATGGAAAAGTCTTGGTTTTTAGTATGGTGCTGCTGCTGTCTGTCTAATTCAGCAAAATGTTTTAATTTAGATCAACAAATTAGCAAGAACAAAAAAAGCAGATTTGCTAATGAAAGTATTCAATTTAATATTTCTGGTTTTGTCCTTCCTCTGATTTTTAGGTTCTTCCTCGGTTTAATAGCAAAGGTGAAGTAATTAAAGCACAAATAATGAATGTGAGTTGGTCAGCTGATCATCGCATCATTGATGGAGCTACAATGGCCCGGTTTTCTAACTTGTGGAAATCTTACTTGGAGAACCCTGCTTTGATGCTGCTGGACCTTAAATAAAGGAAATCATGGCTAGAATATGCCTTTAAACTCCGTGGATTAGACTGAATAGTTATAAAAGCTTTCTCTTCTAACATGTGCCCTTTGCTACGTGCATTATATAATAATGTTATGTGGTTGAAAGTTCTCAACAGCTGATATCAGTCTCAATTAGTTGTTGCTTCTTTCATTTTGTATTGCTGTAATTTCATCTACAGCAGACTGTCAAACTGAATAGGTCACAGCTTCTGAATATGGTGGTGGTGGAATGTCTTTATTTTGCGTTTTATAATAAGAATGATTGTCAGGCTGGTGTGACTGAGTGCCACTACTCTACACCTGCAGTATATATAATCTGAAGGGAAATTTTGGAGGGGAATACTCATAGTACTTCTATTTTGAACACATAAATTTATTTTAACAAATAATATCTGAATTCCTAAAAGGGATTATACAAAAATCATATACAAATAAAATACCTTTAATGCTTCTGCTGTAAGATGTCCAGAGAGATTTTTGTTGTTTAACTGAGTAAACGTCTTAAGTATTTTGCTAGTTCACTTTTTCTGGCAATTAGTTGCACAGGTACTCTTTACCAAACTATAAATGAGGAGGCCATATTTATTCAAATGCTTTCTGACAACACTGATTGGTAAATATAAAGGCCTTAATACTCTCTAGAATATCCTATATTTTTAAAGGCTGAAAGTAGTTTCAGCTGTTAACACTTGCCAGTTATTTTTAATTCTTATAGAAAGCATCTGTCTTAAAATGAAACAAGAAAGAAAGAGAAAACAAAATAAAAAAAGAAGGATCTTGTTTTATTATTCTGTCGCTAGGTAAGCCTGACAGTAAGCTGCTGATGAACTAAAGCTTGCATTCTGTTATTGATATTCAGATACTAGAATCTGATAGATTAATCAGATTCAACAAAGAATGGATGTTAAAAAATACTGTGAGATAAGGTCTCCTTAAACTCAGATACAAGGCACATAATGAATAGGTTCAAGTTAATGCTTTTAGAACAGAAAACTTATGTGGCTTTAAGGTAAAATAAACAGATGATGAAGACTGCACTGCTGATTTAATGGGAGATATGAAGAAAACTGTTGCATACAAATACCTTCTAAACACATAAGTTTCACACAGCCATGAGAAAAGACAGTTACATAGCCTTAAAAATGAATTTGCAATGCACAAAATGGACATTTTCTCCTTTTTTAGATATATCAAAAACAAGAGCATTCTTCAAAATGGTAGACCAAAGTTGTCTATTGCATTTAGCTGTGAAGATGTGAGACAGGCTACCAGAGGTAGAATCCCTGCTATCCATCATGCTGAGACTGAATAAGAGAAAAGCTGGTAATGTACGAAGGGGAGTGTGGCGCATCCGTGTAAGGTGCTATTAACATTTCTATTGTGGTATAAGGGTCTTTTATATAAAAGTCATTTCTTGCAAAGTTTAACTGTTATATCATGCTTATCACATATTTCATTTTTATCAGATTTATTTATTCCTAATAAAAATGTAAAGCCACAAAATATTGGTTTTTATTTGTGAATTTTATGCAGGCAATCCTATATGGGTGACTCAAACACTTTCTTCTTGCCTTAAAAAACATCCTGTACTCAAGGCTACTAGAAGAACACAGCCTAATGTCTACTTTCCTACAAGTACATTGTTGTGGTAAGGGCTTAGTCTAAAGGCTTAGGATATTTTTTAATCTGATGATCATTGTGAAAATAAATTGAGGAAATATAAGTATATGAAAGAAAACAATAAAATTACTTTGAAATACTTAAGACAGAATCAAGGAGAAGATTGAAAACTAAAGTACTTAGTGTCTTTTTAAGTAGGTAATGGTATTAATGTATTTAGTTGTTTGTGGACTGGAGATGGTTGAGTTTCTTTGTTATAAAGTTCTGTGTGGTAGAGTTACAACCAAATTAATGATGCTTTTAAAATTTTATCTTCATGTTTTATACTCCAGCTCAATTGGTTTGAACTATCCCTGCATCAAATAGTGACCTCGTAGCTATTGTTGTCTCTGCTCCCATTTGATTGAAGTAAAAGATTCTGACAGACTTGTTCTCCTTGTATCTTCTCCAAGGGCTATTTGAAGAAATATAATGTTAAATATGTTTCATAATTGGAACCACGAAAAGGGGTGAGTAATAGCCCCTCTGCACATCTTGGTAAAGATTACTTTTCTTTCTGAACTTTGAAAATTTGCAGTAAAATTCTTCAGCAAGAGAATTCTTCAGCATTGGCAAAAGTAATGAGTAAAATACTTAGTGATGTAATACCTTTTCTTGTCTGTTTAGTCAATTTTGCTGTTTAATAGCACTTTGAAGCTCAGTTACCTTACAGAGAAACATTACTAAAGAAAGCAGTCATTTTTAATTCAATACTGGCCTTTATTTCTAATTGTCATTTTTAATTCAAAATGAACTTATTGTGTAGCATAACAATATTCCTTTGTTCTTCTTTGTTCACAATTTCTGATAATGGGAGTCCAGTTTAGGGGAGCCCGGTCACACTCAGCAAACTTAGACTTCAACAGTGGTAAATGCTTTGGGGGGTTGCAAAAGTGCCTCATGTGATGCCTTCTATTCTCAGCATAGGTTAAAATTAGAACTAGACTGACATTGCACTGGAGTCTGAGTGAGAGTTTTAAATGGCTTTGGTAATGCAGACAAGATTCATAATTTGTCTCCGCTCTTGTCCAGAAAGCAATGAGTCACAGAAAATCCTTGAAAACACCAAATAATTAAGGTGAGTTGTTGTTAAACTCTTTCTAATGCTTGGAGGTGAAGTTGTTGGGAGATCTGATTACTTGGAAGTGAATTTGTAGTTGTTTTACAGCCACACTTGGGAATTAATTTCTGAATTGTTGGCTGTAATGGCAAGATTATTATGGTTTTTATTTTCTTGATGAATAATAAGACCTTTTTGATGGAATCCTCTTATATAGTGAAATCCTGAAAATAGTTGTATTCTTAGTTCCTTTGATATTTCATGGTTCTAAGGCAGTATTTGTTGAATGGTATGCAAAAGGGAGTTGTCCAGAGTAAGCTTTACTGGAAATAAGTATTGGTTTGACTGCACAGTATGATACTGGGTTTGGTAGTACAACTATTAACAAATGTCTCTTTTCTGCACAATTTATATAAAAAGATTTCTAGTTTTCTACCTAAAAGGGCTTGTAGTTCAAAAAATATCTTTAAACAACAAAAAATGATAGATTAGTTAATCACTTGATCTCAATAGAAATTAAAACTTGAAAAAATCTGGCAATTTGAATTGTAACCACTAACTGGAGCAAAGAACCTCATGCATGCATAGCATTACTGTTGCATGTTGAGATGGGGACTGGGAAGGGTCCTTACTCTGACCACTGAAAGAGAAGCTAATCCTTCAAACTAGTAAATGGGATCACATTTACGTGGGGGAGGGAAAAAGTGTACAGTCCTGTCTTGAGAGGAAAATATCCAATCCCTCTGTAGGAACCCAAAGGCCAGACTGCACTGCCATGCTGGGGTTGCCATTTGTGTCACTTGTCAAATCCTGCCATTTCTCCTTAACAAACAGAGAACACATAAGAATCATAAATATTAATGTATTAGACCAGATTCTTCTTTATTGAAGCTTTATAATTTGATTTTGTGCTGTCTTTACAAAAGGAAGCAATCCTGATATTTTACATTTTATTTGCCTACACATTTTAACTTAATTTCAGACTTTACAAATAAGTATGTTGGCAAAAGTCATAGTAAACATAAAATAGAATGATTGCAAATTTGAACACAAAAATGGTCACTAAGCAATTGTGGCTTATCCAGGGCCACACAATATTATAACAGAAACAAATATGAAAGAAAAAAATTGGTTCTAAAAGACAGACCTGCAGCAATTATTGTAGGGAAATACATGTATGAAAAGACATGAAATTCCTCTTTTGTTACCTACTTGCTTGTTTGGAAGAAAGTTATTCTTACTTTTTCTAGTTTAAAGCATATATAGGACATTTTTCTTACTTGCCACTACAAGTATCAGTAAAAAGTTAGAAAGGGAGGGTTCAGATCATCAGTGTTCAGAGTATACTGCTGCTGGTTTGAAGTTTAGCCCTGTAAGCTTATCTGAATAGCAGTATCTTGGCTCCAGTAATGGCAATAAGAATGATTTTTAGAGGGATGCAGTTATTAGGATGAGTGAGTATCCTATTTTGCTGCTCTTCAGGACAATAGATATTAATTATCTCACTAAAGGATACGTTATTTCAAAACTTTAGACTGAGTTTAATTTCACATGTGAATTCTGACACTCAGTAGGGATACATACACAAACATTCAAAGAGAAATCAGAAGGATTTAAATGCATTTTCCTAAAGGTAATGCATCGCTAACTATAAAATGCATTGTAATCAGTTAAGCTATGAAGAAAATGAATGCAAATGAAGTATACTAATTTCAGGAACAGTTCAGTTTCTATAAAGTGCAAAACTCCTTTGTGACAAGTATTAAATCAGGTAGGTGTCAGAATGCAGTTATCAGAATTGAACTGCCTTAGATTGCAGGTAACAGTTTCATGCCTGGGATGGGAACAAATGCACAAATCTGCATTTAATAATTATGGTCCACACTTAGCCTACAACTGAAGGAACTGAGCGAAGCAGTTGTTCACTGAATAAGAATGCAGAGATTGCAAAAATACCATTTCTTACTATAATAAAATTTAACTAGGTGCAATTATCTATTTTTATAAAGAGAAAGCAGTTGATAAAATCCTGTCTGTTCTTTATATTAAGTCATTTGATAACATAGTGAAGTTGGTATTGTAGTATTTTATTTTTCATGTTGCTGTCTCCATCTGGTAACCCATATCTGAAGTGGTACATTGATCCTGAAATTCAGTCAGATTCCTGCAAGCAAATCTGAACATGTAAAGGATCATGGCTGAAACTGCAGTTTGCCTGGGAACATTCTCTGCTGTGAAGACACTCTGGGAAGTGAGAATACACAAGATAAATGAAGAATTACAGAAAGAAAAGGAATTCAGGCAGAGGTCTGCAGGAAGGTAGGTAAATTGTAACTCTTTAAGTATGTGAAAAGCCAGACCATATGTTACATTTCAGAAGACTGTAATTGGTTTATCCAAACTCATGCAGGCTCTATTTATTAGTTGTTACTCCAGCAGGATTCCCTGTGATTAGAATTTATCTAGTGTCTGGTATAAAAATATTAGTATATAGATTAATGCCCCTGTACTCAGATACTAAAATCCTCTGCTCTGTAAATATTCTAACCAGTAAAGATTTATTATGCTTTCTTTTCCACTAAGGTATTAACAGGGTTGCTTGGTCTTCTATCTGGCCAGCAATTTTATGAAATTTCAAGAGATTTAGGATTCAATTTTTGGTACTCCTAATTTATCAGATGTGTTTGAAGTGGAACAACAAACTCAAAAGTTACTCAATATAAGCAGAAAGAAAGAGAATGACCTTGTCATAATTCTTGTTTAGGTCCCCTTTGGCAAGCAAGCTTAAAGAAGCTGATTGATCTATTTTCTTGCACTTATATGTGGTTCACTGGAAGGCTTTAATTTTAGGAGTCAACTTGATAATGTGCTTTAGAACTTTATTCCACATGACTTTATATTCTGTGGCCCTGCTGCCACATGGTGAAAATGAATGTAAATTCTAAGAAGCGTAAAATAGAATTCCTGTAAATTAACCTCAGCCAAACATTAAGGGCTTTTTTTCTCTCCAACTCATAGTATATTAACATCCAGATAAAATTAATGTTATTTAACAACAAGGTGTTTGTCTCTTTTTCCAGAAAATAGATAGGATAGTAATTATTGGCTGTATTTGTTGTGGCACCACTGGCAGATCTTTTTTCCCTTGTAGGCTACTGCTTGTCTGGGAGGAGAGAGCTGCTTTAGCAAAGCTCAAAGAAAAAGTTATTAATGAAGGTGGAAGAGCAATTTTAAGGATAGAGGAAGAAGAATGGAAGGTAGTGTTGATAGAAATGGATGCTGCTTGTGTTGAATGACTGATGCATGAGAAAACTAATATTTACAACTTTACACTTAAGTGGTACTATTTGTGTTCTATTAACTGCTCACTGTGCTTTGCTAACAGTGAATTAGGACACACTGTTGTGAGTGTAAAAGAAAGCTGGGTGTTTTTTAGTCCTGAATATTAAGCATTACTCTGCAAAAACAAAGTCCAAAAGATTTTTCTGCATTAGAAATTATTTTCACTGCAGAGTATGATTTTCAGTATGTAAATTCTCATTTAACATTCACACACCAGAACTACTGAAATGTATCAAGATGAAAACCCTCTGTGTTTGAGCGCATGAAGATATTTCTTATTGTTTATTTTGTCTTTGTAAGAGTGAAGATGAGCCAGTAGAGTCCCAGAACACTATTACTATTGTTTCTCATGTGCAGAGCTAATCTGCTGTTAATGCTGGCAGAGTGAAGGCCATCAGTGCTCTGAGCCATGCAGAAATGCACTGACCAGCTCCTAGAAAGTGGTGAGAATTAGTTTGTGTTGAGGCCAGTGAGAACGTGGCAGCCAGACCCAGCCATAGTCTGGTGGTCTGCAGGCCAGTGGTCCTTGTTCAGAGTCCTTCACGTACGTTGCAGTTTTTTTATCCCTCAGCTCTTCTGCTCTCAGCTGCTCACTGTTTTTATTGACAGAATAGGAAATAGAACTTAGATCTCCCTTTCTGTGCAACAATCTATTTAGAGCAGTTTCATCTTCAGTTATATTGATTTTTTATTTTAAAGAAAGAAAGAAACAAAAACAAGCCTGAAACTTGTCAATGACAGTGGTGCAGGTATCTAAATCCTGGGAGCCAAAAGAAGGCAGGTTCAGAATTCTGTGATCAGAATGACAATCCACACTTGATGTTCCCTTCAGGATCATGGAATCATGGAATATGCCAAGTTCATTGAGTTAACTCCTGGCTTTGCACAGCACCATCTCCAAGTCACACCATGGGTCTGAGAATATTGTCTAGACACTTCTTGAACCCTGTCAGGCTTGGTGCTGTGACCACTGCCCTGGGGAGCCTGTTCCAGTGCCCAACCACCCCCTGGGGGACGAATCTTTTCCTAATATATTGATGTAAACCTTTTCCTAATATGTATGATATTAAAATCATATCAGTTATGCTTGCTACTTCTGGCATATTTTAGAGAACTGTTATTAGGATTAATTTTGCAACCTACATGTTACAGTATAGCTTAAGAAAAAGGACAGACTGTTAGTGTTTCAAATCAAACTTCTGCCTCAGCCCATATTCTAAGCTGAATTTCTTCTGGTTTGTATTTCCTGTTGCAGACATTACCTTCATGCTTATTGAAACTAATCCATCTCCAGGAATGGCAGCTTCACAGAACTAGTTTGCAGAAAATTCCTCAGTTTATTGGAAGATTTCACAGCCTTGTTGTTCTGGATCTATCCCGGAACTCAATTGAAAGTGTACCTAAAGAAATTGGTGAGCTGTGCTTTCTTTTATTTTAAGCTGATTTTCTAAGAAAATTGGTCTTGCACAAACGTACCGGTTTTTGCCCTTTGCTTGTCTAATAATCCTATTGGGTAGTTAGAAAACAGATTATTTTAATCTGACAGTGAGATAGAGATCTCCAAACTGTAAATTCCCTATAAACTAAAAATGGGCTGGATGGAAGATATATATCTCTGTGAAAGCTCCTCATGACACAAAAAAGGACCTGTTTGCACAGCAGGGACTGGACATCAGAATGCAGCTAGCAAAGTGATACTGAAAAACAGACTTCATGTTCTGAGTCCATGACAGGAGTAGCCTAGTCACAATTTTTTAGTTTTGGGTTTTTCCTTGAAGCACTCAGCTAGATTGCAGTCCTGTACTAAAGAGTCCTGAGGTGCTGTATTTGCAGCTCAGTAACTTGTTTGTTTGTTTGTTTTGTTTTGTGAGAACACAGAGAGTTTTTATAACAGTAAAAGGATAAAGCAAAACAAATAATATTGTGCTTCAAGTAGAATAAACATGAACATTTCTCATTTGTACTCTCTGCAGGTCAGCTCACCAGCCTCCAAGAGCTGCTTCTCAGTTACAACAGAATAAAATCTGTTCCTAAGGAAATAAGTAACTGCATCAGTCTGGAAAGATTGGAACTGGCTGTCAACAGAAGTATCTCTGATCTTCCTCCTCAGGTTTTGACAGACTGTTTAGTTTTGTTTAATGCATACTTTGAATTTATCCAGAGCCAATTATCATTATGTGTTGCATTTCTGTTTTCAGATTTGCTGTGAAGCTGTGATTTCACAGTACTCCACACTGATGTGAACAACCTTTCCATGACTGGTCAAACTGAAGCCACATGAGAAGCACATACATACACCTGAGTAGCTGAAGGAGCCAATCTTTATTTTGGCCAGATAAATAACTTAGCAGTGCATAGAGGGTGGTGACACACTCCATATCAATTTGTTTAGGCTGGATATTATCACTGATTTACCCCACTAAGAATCTGATGCCTTAGCACAGAGAAGTTCCCTTTTATGGTTGAGAGTACAAATTCACACCAAATGTCAGGAGACAGCTGTAAGCATCTTTACAAGAACAGATAGATCTGAAAGGGGGTTGTGTGATTTATACAACTGCCTTTGCAGAGGTGAACAATTGTTGTTCTCAAATGTTTAAAACAATTATGAGAGAATGAAAACAACTACTCACCTACTATTGAACTTCAGTTTGAACAGACCAAAATGTGAGAGACCTGCATCTGTAACTATTAGTCTCTTAGATAGAGATGACAAGTATGTAACTATATTTACTTGTTTTATTTAAAAAACCAGTCATGGCAATAGTTGACACCAATCAGTGTCTTGAAAATGGAGTGGGTCCAAATAGCAATAGCATAGAATCTTCAAATGGAAATATATACTATTAACCCAAATCCAGAATTTACAAAATCTAAGTGGATCCAGGTTGCAGGGTGTAATGCAGAAACATAGGACATAGTTATGTCTGATGGAGACTGTGGCGATGTGATCACTGGGAAGCTTTGGTTACGTACACTTGAGTGGCACTCAGTGTTTAGACAATTGCACCAGATCTGCTATAAAACATCTTTGTACCACTTGAACATTGCAAAAGCACCTGAAGGCATGATTCACCAAGTGACTTAGGTGCTGTGATACTGTGTTACTTTTTTAGAATGTCTTGCCAGGGTAGTAGACTGCACAGCATGGAAGGTGTCATGGTTCACTCTAAATTACAGTCCATGCAATTTGATACATAAAAATGTAAATATTTTACAAACAAAAACCAGCATATTGCATGGAGTATGAAATTCTAAGGACAGTGCTGTCTTTAACATTCTCCTTCCTTGAGGCTTGGGGCATATCTGCATTGTAGTCAGCAGTTACGGCACTCACTACTGGGTGGGAGGTAAAGTTCTGCTGCCTTACCAGTTCCCAACCTATCTACCTTCGAGGCAAAACTGCTATTGTCAGGTACTATCAGCTACTGGAACTCAAAACCATTCTGTGTTTACTGGCTCCAAAATGTGTTGTAATGTTTCTCAACATTACTAGATAACTGCTGTGCAGATGCAGCAGCTACACGAAGTTGCATTAACTCTCCCCTTCTTTTCAGCTCAGTGATTTAAAGAAGCTGTCACACATAGATTTGTGCATGAATCAGTTTACTGCCATCCCTTCAGCTCTCCTCAACATGCCAAATCTAGAATGGTTAGATATGGGGGGAAACAAACTCCAGGAGCTTCCTGAGGCAATTGACAGGTAAATAAGCTCAAAGCTAAATTTAGTCTCAATTGCACTGTGTTGAAATCCTAATTAATAAACAGTACTTCAAAAGATAATTTTTATGTTAACCTCACTCCAAAGTCAAGATTTTATCAGCTCTAATATGATGTTTTAGATAAACTGGAATAATCCATTTAATTAACAATAAATTCATGATCAACTATAAGGTTAAATATTTATTGTCAATCACATTTTTGAACAGAGATTAGGTGATTATCTTGGATATGGGGTTTCCTTTGAGACTTGTTGCATTATGAGTCCTTTATGTGGATGAAAAATTAATTTTACAGTAATGACTGAGAGAATTAATTCTGTGAATCTTGATTTATTGAACAAATACCTATTTTTCAGAATGGAAAATCTCCACACTTTATGGCTCCAAAGGAATGAAATAAACTCTTTGCCAGAAACCATTGGTAATATGAAAAATCTTAGTACTCTTGTTCTTAGCAACAACAAACTTAAGGATATTCCAGCTTGTATGAAGGACATGACAAATCTGAGGTAAGAAAAAGCACCAGTAATGTAAATGAAAATAACTAGAAAATACTTTTTAAAGCCCCCCTTGAGTTGTAGATCATAGAGTGATACTAAGGGAGAGGAAAAGGTATTACCACAGTTGTACAGATGGATACAATAAGTCAGCATAATTACACAGATTCACAACAATTAAGGATCTGGTGAAGTAAGCTTTGTGTAGTGAAACTTAGTTAAAGAAGTAAATTATGATAGCTACAGTCTCACATGAAAAGTAGACAATACTCATTTCATAGCCCTTCCACTATAATTGTCCTTTGATATCACTCTCTGAAGGCAAGTGCTCACAGAAAAATGTGGCAGGCATTAAAATGACAAAAAGTAGAACTTTGCCATTGAGAATTCAAGCCTTCAGAATTAAAGAAAATTTATTAGGTTTAAGGAAATGGATTAAACTGTCAGGTACTTGATATGAAAAATAAAAAATAATGTAAATTCTTATAAGGTAGAATTTTAATTACTCCTTAGTATACTGTGACAGAAACTTCCCTGTTATTGGCATTTTCATTTGGATTACTGGATGCTGTCTGTTTTAGAGAAAGAATCCTAGTCTGCATAAACCATGCCTAACCCAGGAAGATAATTCCTCCTCTCAGCTCTTTTGATAGAACCTCCTTAAGTAAATATGCACAAGCATAGGCCCAAGGATATAGAGAATAAAGAGAGAATAAAGAGAGACAGGACTGACTCCTGCCTTGCAAAACTGGGAGGAGTCACTTGCACTGTTCTCAACCACTCACCTGTTTGTGAAAGCACAATACATCTGGCAGTGGGGTCACAAACTGAAGACAAAATTATGAGGACCACAATGTTTTCCCACCACAATCAGTTACTATTATAAAGCATCTTCTTTGCTTACTTAATACTACTGATAGAGTTTAGTATAACAAGAACTTAATTTCATTTTGCTTAAAATAGCATTTGAGAAATCTTAATTCAGTTTCAAAAGAATTATTTTCTCTGGACAAAACTTACTGCAAGATTAACCTTTTCTGGTGAATTCCTAGATTTGTTAACTTCAGAGACAACCCACTGGAGCTAGAGGTAACACTCCCTCCATGTGAGAACACAGATGAGGAGGAGCAACAGGAAATGTTTGGCATTGACTTCATGCACTTGTATATCCAGGAATCACTCAAGAAAACAGGTATGTCTTTTTTATTAATTCTGATCTCTCCACAATACAGTGAGGAAGAGAGAGATAAACTGGATAAATAAAATCTAGGATATGTATAAAAATGAAACATGAATAGCCTTCTTAATAAATGAGTAACATTTTCCAAAAAAATCTGTAAATAGGCTTTTACTGAGGACAGGGGCACTTTTAGCAGGAGTTGGCACAGTAGGTTTCCAACAAACAGCACAGATTCTGGTAGGAACATACTGGAACCATGGAGCCCTGTATTAAATGTGCCTGAGTTACCTACACCATGGATAAAGAGAAGCTGATGACTGTATTTCGTATTTGCAATTTAATCAGTTTACATAGTGAAGGTCTTCTAATGTCCTTTAATTTATGAAGCTCAGCTTTTCCTATTTTTAGATGTTGTCCAGATGGTACTTCCGGAGGAAGATTAAGGGAGAAATGTCTATGTTCCTAAGATACATCTTTTAGCAATGAACTATCAACACCTGATTAACAGATGTTTCTCACAACTTGCTTTCCCTGACACAAAATACAGTCACTTAAACAAAACACCCCCAGTTTCATCCCATTTCTAAAACATGAAAAAAATATGCTGTTCATTGTCTCTGGGGTAACAGTTTTAACGTTGCAATAAGAGACCCAAATAAGCACTTTGGAACATATTTTCAGTTGGCAGCTGTTACTTGCAGTGAGCACATCACTGCAGCTATAAAATGTTCTCACTGATCTTCATTTTGTGTTTTGTGAAGGCTTAAAAAATGAATGTAATGTTCTTGATTTAGAACACTAAGACAGCTTTTTTCTTATCAATATTTCATGAATGAACTATCAAATTAGCGAAAATATATCAAGATGACACTTTAGACATAAGTTTTCTTTCTGAATAGATTCTCTAGCAGCACAGGCTGATCAAAGTACTTAGGCCTACTTAAATATTTTAAGAAGAAATACAAAGCTATTCTGAACTTCAAAGTGAAAATGAAGTATGTCAACTTCTCTTATTTTAACCTATTGTCTTTCAGGAAATGTGGAAAGTTGTACTTCTGGTTCTCCTCCTGTCATGAATCCTAATGAATAAAGAATGTAACTGTGAATGGAAGAAAATATCAAATACACTTCTTCACAGCAAAGAGGCTACAACAGGTTTCAAGTATTTTTAGGGATTTTTATTTTTCCGCTGATGAGAACTGGTTTGTGTATTTGTAATTCCCAGTGAAGCTGGAAAGTATAAGACCTTTTCTTGGGTACAGGAAAGATGAGATAAGTTTGTTTTTTTTTTTTTGTAAAAAATTAATTAGTTTTTTAAAAAAAACCCAGATAAGTTTTATAGAGTTTGTTTTTTTTTCCTACCAATTCCAAATTTGTTTCCTGTCATACAGTTGGCTCTGGTATCAAAGGAGGATTTGGGACAGCTGTCAACAGGACATTCTCCAAGGACACAGCAGGCTCTGTATAATACTGCAGTGCAGCCTTGTATCCTTGCTGCTGTAAATACTCAATCCGTCCGTGATCAATCAGCCGTTTGCAGAGGCAACCGATCTCCTTCCGCTCCTCAACACTCAGTATCCTGGTTCCAGATAAAGGAAAGAAGCAATGACAGCTGTCAGAAAATAGTTTTGGTAATTAACATTAGTACTTAAGCTTAGAAAAACTACCAAAATCATTGTAAGTTCATTTCAGTCAGGTTAAGCATGGCTATTGAAATATTTTGAAATGTACGTCATGAAAATCATATTTTTAAAGTAAAATATCTCTATAAGTTTAGTAATTAAATGTTTCTGCAAAATTAGTCCTTTTGAGGACCCAAAGCAATTTAATGTGCCACTATACATAGCTTTTCTGCTGGAGTCCCTTTGCTAGGAAACAAAACCTACATACCCTTGTAAAGTATCAGAACCACTTGCTGTCCTGCTGAGGGTGTGCTCATGTTCTTCTGTGTCATTAGTTTGATCTTGACTGTCTTCACTTGTAGAAACTTTGCTTGTGGTTTCTTGCATGCCACAAGTGGCCCAACTACTCATTCTCTGAAAATAATGGAATTCTACTGGTCCCAGTCCTATTGATTTAAAGAACTCTCTGCCTACATAATGGGTCCAGTCACACTTGTGATGGCAACACAGAGCAATAACAATTCCAGCTACAGGTTTACGGTCTTCTGCGGTGCTTTCATTACCAGCAGATTTGTGAGGAGCCTCCTCTGTCTGAGCAGCCCTGCAGCGTTTTGGTGCAGGCTCTTCATCTTCTCCATCACAGCTAGTGGTGTAACTTTCAACCAAGCATCTCAAAGCAAGATCTGAGAAGGAACAAATACATCACCCCAACAAAAAATATCCATGCCATTATTTATACAGGCTGTATCGTTGCAATGTGCTTCCCACAAAGAAGAATAAAATTACACATCACAAACTAAGCCAAAAAGCAAGTTCAATGATAACTAAAAATTACAAATATGCTTTGAAAACATGAAAATCCTAACTGTGGTTTCTCTGGAGCTTCTAAGACCTTATCCCCTGAAATATTTGTTCTGCAAAAGTGAATTTAAAATAGTTTGATTAAAAAATTAGCATATTGTAGGAAAATCTCCTCCCTGTAAAACACATGAGTATTTGCTCTAAAAATTTGATATCTAGGACACAGTCTATTAAATATGCACATTTACTTCTTAAATGCTTAACTTTGTAATCTCTGTCACGCTACCTATAAAGGTGTCATATTTGAGATGTCTTTCTCAACACAGTAGCCATATAACATTAAAAAACTGTATTAGTTTAAAGTTATCAGGACAGAAACACAATCTTATTTGTTTTTGGGATACATATTCAGACAGTCAATAAAATTCTAGAAAGAGAATTGTTTCAAAGAAGAAGCAACTGTGCTAAAAAAAGTACTCTCAAATATATTACCCATGCCACCACACATTGTTCTCTGTTCTAATCTATTAAAGTCAAGAAGGGCTTCACTTCTGCCTAGAGTATCCTTACATCTATTACCCGTTTACTATTCCACTGGAGTCTAGAGGTATTTAGAATATAATTACTGTGTTCACCAGAAAAGGTTTAGAGGGCAAGAACAGCTTAAAAGGACAATGTGGAAGATCAGTGCATTCACAGTGTAAGGTTTATATCCTGACTTTCTGCACTTCACACATCTGTAATTCATACCTGTTGCAGCACCACACAAATGCTTCCCAATTCCTACCACTGGTAGTTTTTTCTTCTCCAAAATAGGTACCTTATCTGGAGGGAAGAAAAACAACCAACAAACGTCCATCCAATCCACAACTACCCCAGCAGCTCTGTTTTTTCTGAATAATATAATTACAGCAGACTTAGAAATAAATGTTTGCCATGACGAAAAATACATTGATTGGCACATTTTGTTAGGACAATTTAAAACAATAGGATGCAGTGCCTGGGAAGCACATTTAACCATTTTAGCCTTTCTATACTGCCTATGAAAGGTAAATATGACATTAATGCATCTCCTGCTGGCACATGCTCCCACAAATTCTGTAGCATTGATGGTGCATGACTTATATGTAGAATTAAGCAAAACAAACAATGCAAGCATGTTTAATTCTGCAAGTGCTAAAACCTTCAAAATTTATTTGTTTTGGTATTTCCTCACTTATAATGATGTCCTATGAGTGTATAAAAAGTAGAAAACTTTAAACCTCCATCTAAAGTATATGTGTATCTATGTATATTCACACATACCTGTATGCATATATGTGTAAACATACAGCATCAACATGTCCAAGCAACCACTGAGAATAATCTTCAGAACCAAGTACATTTAAGCATGTTACACACAAACTGACTGGAACCCCAATTCAAAATTTAAAAATAAGCCTTTATTTCATAATGACACAGGCCAAGAAGGAACTTACTTAAACATAAGTGCTGAATGTCTACTTGAAGCCTCTCAAATATAGAATCTCTCCTTTTGTGTTTTCCATCCACCTGTTTAAACAGAACAAGAGATTTCATAGGGCTGGTGACTAATAACTATAATTTTGATCCAGGTATTAATGTCAGACTTTTTCCTTGTCAAATCGACATCTGTGAATTTCCAACATTAAACATCAAGATTTTTTTTCTAAAAAATTTGCTATTGGTGAAGTGTGGAATGTATAACTTGTAAAATTTAAATGTATTGAGGATAAAAAGTAAACACTAACAGTTTCAATGGCAATGGTTTAAAAATTATACTTTACTAATGTAACAATATCCTCTTACCTTGAATCTTGTGGTTGCCCTTTCCACAAGCAAAAACTGAACATTTTCAACATTCTCTAAGGCAATATCAACCCAATGAGACAGCTTTCCTCGCCCAGCTCCAAACTCAACAAAACACCTTCCTGGACCAAGTAAATGCAATTTTTCCATGTTACCTAAAATAGAAGACTACAAACATCAAAAGATTATTTGTGAACCAAGAAAATATATACCCTGTGTTTTGTAATGCCTTATAGAAAAATTATACCTTCACCGAGCCGCCAAAGACTTTAAGCCTTCCTTTCAGTGAGAGATTAGGGAAAAGATGATGTGTGTACAGAGGAAAGGGATTATATCTTCTGTTTTACCATATCAGATTCCCTCTGTGGGAAGCAACTGGAATTATGCACCCAGTCACTCAAATTTACAGCAGCACAATTCCCTGTCCAAACTCCTCTATAGTTATTACTAAATCAGACCAAACCTGTTGTTTCAGGTGTTTGAAAGCAGATTCCCCATTCTTTGGGTCACTTAAGGCTTCTTGTAAAGCCTGGTGGGACAGTATTTGTTCCTTAAGATGAAGTTCCAGGCCTGAAAGCAAATGCAAAACTTTCAGGTATAGCTTTGAGTTTCCAAGGGTTCCTAGTTTGTAACACACATAATTACAATTGTGACATGAGCTCAATTTGAAGCACTAATAAAGCAGTCTGCTGGGAGTGTAAATCTATCATCATATGTTTATAACAGATATGTTATCTGTTGTGATATCTGAGTGAGAAAAAAAAGAAAAAAGGAAGGGAACACAAGATTGGAGTTTTATCACTCTTTCAATCTAGTTTACTATTTGGAGTAAAATTTAGCTATTGGAAGTCTGCCTGATAACTATTTCAGATGTGTTTTATGGCACCTATCTTATATTTTTACAGGTATCTAACAACAAAAATAACAATGAAATAATTAATTCAATTTAAAACATCATATTTTTAGTATTTAGTATTAAGCTCACCATTACTTGCTTTTTTCAACTTTATAATTAAATTCTGCAGCTCTTCAAGAGATAAAGAAGACAGAGGAACCTTTTTAAGGAAAAAAAGTGACACCAATAAATGTGAGACCTTTGAAATTTTCTGTATTTTTATAGTCATGAGTTGCAACATGTAATGTATGGACTGAACCTAAAACCAAATAATGTACTCACTTGTTTTTCTGGTATTTCTACTACATCTTTTAAACCAGCATTAATATCTTGAACAAAGTAGACCTTAAAAAAAAAAGAAAATAAAAGAAAATAAATTTGATTCAGTTAATTACCAGGAAGCAAATAGCCAAATTCTTTAGTGTTCTTATGGTAAGGTATGTAGCAATAGGAATCCACTGCAAGGTAAGATTTTCCAAGTACTTTTCCTTCCTATAGTTTGATCCTGAATCCCAGCCAGAAGTTACTCTTCTGACACAGTGTTACAAGATTGAACATGTTCATAAGAGTAAAGCAGTCAGGGCTTACTAGACAGATTCCAGAGACCATTTTCAGGTTTCCCAGGGAGTACTAAAGGTGCAATTCAAATAAGGCAGAAAGGCAGGCAATAAAGAAGCCATCCTCTGCTTTCTTGAAAGAGCTGTATAAACACATGTCCTCTTGCTTCCCTCAGCAGCTCTCAGCCAGGCTCTCCGTGGCTCACTGCCAGCCTGCCTGGAGTGGGCAAGTGCCTGGGATACCCAGAGCTTCTCTGCAGGTTTTGCTTTCTCAGGACAAGCTCTCACCCAGCCTCTGAAATGAATGGCATTGTGAGAGCCTCTTCCCTGGGTTGTTTCTGAGAAAAATGAATTCAACATTTTTATTTGTAACCAAGAACTGAAAAAGTGTACCAAATTACAATGAGAAGGGGCAGAGAACATGAAGGGACTGGAATGTGAGTTGCATTTCAGCAGTAGTGCTTTGCTAGACCTGCTGCCCTGCAGCTCACAGCTGCTGTCAGCACAGAAAATTCTCTGCAGAACTGTAATGTTTTAGGTCTTAGATCCGAGAGGAAGTGTTGAAATTACACTGCACTTACAGGCTTTGGCTTCTCTCTTGAGTTACATTTTTTTAAATGCTTTTGTAGTTGGTCTTCATACACAGTGCTAAAAGCCAAATGGAGAGAAAAGTAAGTATCATGTGAATACTGACAAAGAACGGGAAAAGCTTTTACATATACTCACTGTTTTGGATCAAGAGGGCACGGAATTCTTTTTCTGTCATTTTGTTCCTAGTTAGGAAAGTTTTAGAAAACATTTCAGCATGCATTCAGCGCTGTGTTTTAAAAAGACTGTTGAGGGGCATCAGCTTCATAAAACAGCTATTCAGAATAACTTAGTTAACCGGAAGGGAGAAACAGAGACGAGAACTTAATATTTGACTGGATCCTAAAAGAATAAACCCCTAATGCAAGGTCAGGGCTACCGCTGGGCTCAGGCGAGTGCCCGGCACATAGAGAGGCTCAAGGGAGGCACCGGCGCTGCCTCTCCCACCCGTGCCACGAGAGCGGGGCCACCCCACGCCCGCCCGCCCCGCCGGCCCGAGAAGGGTCCCTGCACCTCTTCGTGCCCGTGCTCGCCGCAGAAGCGCCTGCCGGGCGCCGGGATCATCCTGCAGAAGCGCCTCTTCCTCAGCACGAAGTGAGCGCAGCGCCCCGGCTCCGGCTCCGGCTCCTGCCCCGGCATCGCCGCTCCCGGCGGCCCCCGCGCCGCCATGTTGGGGCCCCTCCCCGCGGCCGGAGCAAGATGGCGGCGGAGCGGATCTTCGACCGGGCGGTGTCGGTGCGGGTGCGGGGCTGCGGCTGCGAGGAGCGGTGAGTGCGGGCCGGCTGCGCGGGAGGCTCTCCGCGCTCCTCAGAGGGGCTGCGAGCCACAGCCGCTTTCCTCCTGCCCGCTCTCGGCGCCGCTGGGCAGCGCTCCGCGGTGCCGCGCTTTGGCGCTGCTGGCGGTGGCACCCTCGGGCTGAGGGAGGGGCGGTTGCCGTGGGTGCCTCGCCAAGGGAGGGAACGCTGCGGGCCGCCGGCAGCGGAGCGAGCTCGCCGCGGCTCTGCGGAAGCGCCGCTGTGCCCGGGGCTGAGGCGACCCGAGGGCCTGGCGGCTGCCGGGCCCAGGCGGGATTCGGCGGCTGCCGGGCCCCGGCGCTGCCCGCGGTTCCTCCCGCCTCTCCCCCGCACCGCGGCCTCCTCAGGCGCGGCTCCCCTCAGGCCCGGCACCCGCGGGTCCGAGCCGCCTGTGCGAGGGTGCGCACGGCGGCGGTGTCCGGGGAAGCCCAGACATTCCGTATGTGAAGCGTCTCTTCAAAATAGGATGAATTTCGGCACTATGGGCCCTGTCTAGTTAGACAGTGTGAGAAGACACGGAAAGGCTGCTGTGGTGTGCGTTGTAATATAAGTGACTTAGTACTCAGTAAGAAATCATTGAAGGCAAGGTAGCACTGTATTTGTTATTATCAGGAGTTTGAGCAGTCGTTAATTTCAGCAGGCTTCTACAAAAGTTCTAGTTTCTGGATAACGTTTCAAAACTTCTGCCTCGCTATTTAAAGTCTGGTGGATAACAAGCAAGCAGCAAAAAAACAGATCTGCCTGAGGCGCTGCAGTTACTGAAACTCTTATAATTTTAAGTGTAGGCATTGGGGGGAATTTTATTAATGTTTCTGAATAAATTTTTAGTTTTGAGATGTCATTGCTTCCTTTAATGAAGCTGTGCACAGATATTATTTGGAGAATGTTTTCTTGATTTATTACTGAGTTTAATCTTTTTGTACACAGGAGATTAAATGTTCGAGTGAATATTGAACTACTGTCAATTTCTAATCCCGTTCATAAAAAGGTTTGTAAATTAATCATATATCTGTCATTCATTAGGTATTATCTGAATTTTATTTTATGGAAGAGTAAGTAGAAAAAGGAAAAGCAAAGTGGGATTTTAGTGTTTGCCATTTGACCGTACTTTATTTCTTATACGATTTTTTGAGTAACTTAGTTGGTTTGGTATTGTGGTTTTCCACCCTCCCTCCCCCACCCCCCAGCCTTTTTTAGCCCTCTATTTTAGTTTGGATGTCTATGGGTCTTAGCAAGCCTGCATATTAAAAGTATTTGGAGATGCTCAGGGGAACATGAGTTAGAGCTTAGGGGTACCTTTAGTTCAAGGTTCCATATCGGGGGAAAAAAAATTAAAAAAAAAAATCATCTTTCTCAGGGAAAATCACAATGAGACCACTACTGGAGATTTTGTTCTCTCTTCTGTTGTATGTCTGATTTGTCATCAAAGTATTCATCCCTTCAGCATGATGTTAAGATTGGTCGTGGGTGGGTTATGGTGCTGTTGGGCAAAGATTTGTTTGTATAGGAATACAGCAGTTTTGGTCAGATTCTGCTCCTGGTGGCAGTGATAATGGTGCTTCCCTCTGAGCAGAAGCAGCTCAGTTACAAGTGTGTGCTGAGCTGTATCAGGGGGAGCCTGGAAATGCAGTTGAGTCCATCAAGGGGTGATAGGAGATCTTCCAATGCTTAATCAGCTAATGGGACATCAGACCAAACCGGCATTTAATCCCACGCATCAGTCCACCCCAGCTGGCTTGGGCTAGCATTAACTTTAACTGTCCGTGTCTGTAAATCCCTGAGTTTGTTTGTGCATCTCCAACTGAGAGTTTTGTTGGTGTTACTGGCACCTGAACTAAAAAAGTTTCAGTTATGTGTGTGTACAGTGCTGTGTCACACTTCATTATGTAGGAACAGCTGACACGTTTCTACTTTACTGTTGTACCTCTGCTGGGGAATATTCTTGCCACAGGGGCAAGCTTTGTTCCAGGAGCAGCTGCCTGAGCCCAATGCACTGCATAACCCCATCCCTGGAATTGGAGGCTTAATGCTTATGAAGAGGGCAGGCTTTCCAAAACACTGTGTAGACGTCAAATGAGTGTCTGTTTCAAAGCTAAGCAGCATAACCCTGCAGTTTGCCAGATGGGATTCAGCTGTATCCAGTCTGCAGAGCTCTGTATTCAAGTATAGAAAAGCAGCTGGTGGTCTCATAAACTTCAGGAGCAGTGTGCTCTGAAAGACTTCCAGTTATGGGAGTGATGTATTTATTACTAAACCATGACATGGGCTGCTAGTGCTACATTTATTTCATGAGGGGGAAAAAAGAGCAAATAGCTTTTTCTCTGAAAAATGATGGCTACACACTGAATTTCAAAACATTTGCTGATCAAAGTTTAATGTTTGACTTGGTTTGTTTTTGTGAAAGAGTTTTCCTTGTTTTCTTGCTGTAATATTTGAAATTGTGTTGAATAGTAATGTTTTACACGTTCTGAATCAGTTGCCACAATTCTGTTGTATTTTTGACTAAACAATGAAAGCATTCAATACTGTTTGCAATGCTGGCTTAAAAGATTTATAGTATTTTAATCTTATTTAAATGTACATCTTTTCAGGACTTAGCTGTTCGATTGACTGATGATACTGATCCTTTTTTTCTTTATAACCTTGTTATATCAGAGGAAGATTTTCAAAGGTAAGTGAAATTAGAGTACTTTCTCTATGAAACATTTCTAAATGGCAAAAAAAAAAAAAAAAAAAAAAAAAGGGAATATTTGTAGCTTCTAGTGGTCTGTGTTAGAGTTCAGGTTTTGGCAGTTTTCACTTGTGGGGTTTTGTCAGTGTTTTGTTAATATTGTTCTCTGACCAGTCACCACCTGGTGAAGCAGCCATGTTCAGGAGCGCAGCCAGCTCAGGTTACACAGAGGAATACTGCTGGTATCTTCTGTTTATCCTAACTGCTTCTTACAGACTATTGTGTGTGTGTGTGTGAACTAGTTCAGGAAATAATTACAAGAAGAAAGTCTTGTTTGCATGGACATGGTTTTACAGACCTGAACCTGTATCTTAGGGTTTCTTGCATAATTGTACTGTTGGGTCTCATTTACTTGCTCAGAATTTGAGCAAATCATCATATTTGGATTCCAGGCATGAACAGATGAACAGTTCAGTTTTCTGCTTTCCTTGGGTATTTATTTTATTTTTGCTATGTTTTGTTTGTTTTGTTGTGGGTTTTTTGTGGGGGTTTTTTGTTTGTTTGAGGATTTGGCATGGGGTGGTGGCTTTGGTGTTGCTTTCAAAAGGGAGGTGTGATCAGTATGTGGATCAAAAGGCAAAAGCAAAGTAGTGTTTGCAGGAGAGATGTGCAGGAGTGTTTCGTTGCACGGAGGCAGAGCTTTGTGCGTGCACTGCAGGATGTTTCATGTTTCTGTCTGAATTTGCTATGACTGTGGAGAGTGGGCAGAGATGGGGGATCGAGGTAATGGTTGAGGCTCCCCTCCTTGTCCTGTGCTTGTTCCCTGTGCCTGTCCCATCACTCCTCCGCACTGAGCTGTGACGGTGATGCCTACTCAAAGAAACACATTTGTTCCACAGCAACTTCTGGTTTTTAATTAGTGCAGTCCATTTGCAAGAACTCTTGTGTTCAGAAGTATCCTCTGGGGATTATTATCCAAGATGTGCTCTAGGCTGATCCTGCTCAAGCAGGGAGGTTGGACCAGCTGATCCACTGTGGTCCCTTCCAGCCTGACCTCTTCTGTGATTTTGTGATATGAGGACACACTTCTGGTTGAAAATAATCAGAAGTGGTTCTTTCTACTAGTGTAAACAAAATATTTTACAGGAAATAAATTACAGTTCTCTATATTGTTAATGTTTCTTTCTCTGTCTGTTCATATAGTTTGAAATCCCAGCAAGGTCTCTTGGTAGACTTCTCTGCTTTCCCGCAAAAATTCATAGATTTGCTTCAGCAATGCATTCAGGAGCAGAACAAAGATATCCCAAGGTAGGTCACAAGTGTGTGCCACGTTACTCTGTGTGTACCTGCTGAGTTCTTAAAATGCTTGTCAGTCACTCAGACTGAGAAGAGTCAGTAGGAAAGGACAATCTGACCTGCCCCGACATGAATATGTTGGTTGATGTGGCAAAGCCTGAGTCTTTAGAGGAGAATTCTTTCTTGAGCAAAAACTGGACAGCCTTTTACTGTACATATAAAAATGTATTTTATTGTCAAATAGATTAGGAACTACAGGTAGTTTCAGGAAAAAAAATGCTAAACATTTGATTATCTTGGTTTTTCCCTAGGTTTTTGCTGCAGTTAGTTTCCTCAGCACCAGCTCTAGATCACACACCTGTCTCTTTAAATGTAGTGGAGACCAACCCTTTCAAACACCTTACCCATCTCTCATTGAAATTCCTGCCAGGAACTGATACAGAAATAAAGAAGTTTTTGGCCAACTGTTTGAAATGCCTTAAGGTAAAATGAAAGTTTATTGTAACTGCAACTAAGCTTCAATGCTGTATGTACTTAAGCATTTTTTTCATTCTGGGAAATTCAGAAGTATGTACCAAGTTGTATGCTCTGGTTTATTTTTCCTTTGCATGCAGCTACTTGGGTGCATGTTGTAAAGTCTGAATTGTTACCATCACCGGGGCAGTGAAAATGCATTGTGTATATTCAGGCAGGAAGGGAGGTGTTTTACACACGGTGCACGTGGTGTGAGCTGCCGAGTGCTCTGGCTGCTGCACTCCCCTGCTCAGAGCCTGTGCTGATGGCCAGAGCAGCTGCAGCACTGACTGGAACCTTCAGTCTCTGTTCTGCACATGGCTGTAGGCAAGCACAGGCTGCTGGTAATTG